CTATGATAAAGCACTAATATTAAGACATGGGAAAACACCTGAAGAAACCTAAATACCACACATGTGAAAACTTAAGAAAACAAATACACACACACACACACACACACACACACATAGTATATATATGGTATTCAGCTTTGTTTGGGTATTTTCCCACATCAATATAGTTGTGCTTTTAAAGTTGTAGTGATGTTTTGGCAGAATCTCATCTGCCATCATCAGGCTTGTGTATTGGGTTAGTCTGTGTGTCAGGCTTTCACAGCCATTTCTGTTTTAAATTTAGTGCTAGCCTCGTGCTGTGTTAGAATGTTTTTTTCTTCATCCTGATTGGTTGAGAGTCTTGGTCTGTGTTTATTGGTCTTGAAGTTTGCTGTGTTCTGCTTGATTGGTGTTTCTAATATCTTCTGTCTGTTTTGTAGCTTTTTTTTGTCTTGATTGGCTGGCAACATTGTGTTTCGTGTATTGGGGGCTTTTAGTGCGGCTTGGCTTCGGGTGAATGGCCGGCTATCATTTATGAGGAAGCTAGGTTTCATCTGGGTAGCTGGTTGGGGTGTATTGGGGCTGGGGGTAGGGGGGGGGGGTGTCTGCTTGTGCCCTGGTGTTTGCTTGGCCTGTGGTGTGGAGATTTTTTTTTTGTTTGTGAGTACAATATACAGTATATAACAGATTTGCTATATATATTGTATATAGGACTTGTCCCAAATAAATATTGCTCTAAAGGGAAGTTTTGGGTTGAATAGGGTTGGATATTTTATTGTAAGGAAAAATTGAAAATATTTCAAATATAAAAGCTTGCAATTGTCCCCAAACAATCATATTGTCTACTTTAGAATAAACTGAGACATCACTTTGAATAGAAGTTTATAATAACAGTTCCACTGTGTAAAAACTGAAGACGATTACAATCATATTTTCTACAAGGCATTGGCTAAAGAGTGACAGACAAGACTCAATCCACAGTTAGATCACTTTTGAAACTTCCTGTTGGCCTCTTTGATGTGACTTTTGAGAGGACTCAGCACCTGTCCTGCTTTCACATAACAGAGAAACAAGAAACTTAATAGGCCATTAAGTAAACCTTTGAGTAACCTTAGATGTGACTCATTAATTGAGAATTTTGGATTTAATTATAAATGATATCAAAATGGGATAGAAAATTATGCAGATGACATTTTTTGGAAGCCCTACCATTATGTAGAATGTAGGTATTATCCCATTAGAACTGATTTTGAGAATTACGAATACTGTTAGAATTACTAATAGTGTTATGATGGGAGGTTAAATATAGCAATATATGGCTTTCAACAAACCATTGATATACAATATCTATGACTTTTTTTTGTGAAATAGAAGTACTGTTCCAGGAAGAATTCCTGGATTTTTCTTCTGGCCAATGATGATGTAGTTGCATTTTGTATTAATTTATTGCTGATTGTAATTTTGTGGAACTTATATCGCAGCACACAATCCACAGTGTTAGCTTTCTGAAGCATCATATTAAAATTAGGTTTTAAGTGTTTGCAGTAGTAGGAGATATACACTTCATAATTATTTGATACTACAACTACTTATCTCAGAGAATATACATGTACATAAATAGGATTTTTTTTCTGAATCACTCACATAGGATTTCCCAAGCTGCTTTTTCATACTTTCTAAATTTCCTGTACAAATTAAATTTCCCTGTATAAATATTTATTTCCACTGTATCCTATATTGCCTCCAAATTAAATTATGTAATCAAATGTCATTAAACAATACTGAGCAACTAATGTATCACGCATCTCAATAGGCAATTGTAAATATGTTGTAGTACCCATCCTATGAATGATGAAACTGTTCTACACAAAAGAATAAACAGCAGATTTTTGGACTTAGGCATTTGTAGTAAACGCTTACAATATTCATGAGTTTAGTGAATCCTAAAATAAGACATACAAACATTTACTTAAGTCATTGATATAACATTTGCTACAGTTGATAGCTAGTGATTACTGTGGAAGGAAGGAAGGAAGGAAGGAAGGAAGGAAGGAAGGAAGGAAGGA